TGATTCATTATAGCTCATTTTCTTCGCGTTTCTCACATTTATCCTTGTTTACCGTCGCCTCTTTTTTTGTCGTTTATTTTCGCAGATCTTCCATTTTTCGGTGTTTGTTTGTCCGCTGCTAATCTGGTCCGCTGCTACCAGATTAGCAGCGGACAAGGGAGGGGGTCGTACCGGGACCCTTTTTAGAGGGGGGAGTCGTATTTATTTAACGGAAAATGATCACAACGCGATGGCGTTCCCTGCCCGGGGGTCGCACGGACTCGACCAAATTTCCCAGTCAACGATGTGCCCTGTTTGCAAATCGCAAAGTTGTTTCACTTTCGCGACTCCACAGTGAGTGACGAGAGGGCTGCAGCAGTCGTAAGTTCTAGTTCTGGCACCAGCTCAGTTGGACCGCTTAGCCGGGAACGTCCCATTTACACTCAACGCAGAGCGCTCATGTTCCAGGAGAGCTGCAGGCATATCCCTGATCGCGCATCCATTTTTGCTGACAGCGATCGTGCTCATATGTGATTTTGTCCTCCATATAACCTTTTCCGTCGGGAGCACCCACAGTCAAGAGCAGTCCATCTCGCTAGGTATGACGCTTCAACTCAAAAATGATTAATTGCATTGGTGCAGTACTTCATCGAAAGAGAAATTTTCCAAATCCCAGCGTGGGAAAAGATAGACTGAACGGCTATTTCCTGTCACAAGTTTCTTTACTACATCGTGTTTTTCATTGTTTTGCTTTCACTGTCGAAGGGTATCCAGCTCTGGATGACGCGAAGAAATGATGAGTAAGCAGAAGCGACAGGATATCTCTTTGCTGGCATGAAACAAGCAGCTCCGGGGAACTTGTACAGTAAAGCTCCAACGGGTTCTTACTTAGGATGTCCTCGTTGGTTTTCTTTTTACTTTTTACCCGAAAAAGTAGCGACAATAGTTTCACAACTGAACGTCACCACCCATAACATGCAATTTCGGGATTTGTATGCAACAAAACCTCGCCTCAATATACTACGTCTCTGATCCTCCATATAAGCCTCAATATAATACTGGGCCTCCATTAAAGGCTGAGCCCGCATTCAAATTTGATGAGTTATGCGGCTCAAATACTTATAACAAGGTAGCAAGTAACCCCTTAGTGAAGAAAAATCAGAAAGAAATCATAGGAAAGGCTCTATATAGAACCCCTTGCTTAATTGAGGTTGTACGTGCTCAAGGCGAAGAGAAGGTGCGGTCGCACGAGTTCTCACTTGTTGATATCAGCTGTTTTCCCTTATCACCTCACTCTCACCACTCGACGTGGAGAGAAGCAGCAGCGAAACAACCGCACCATCAGATAACCATTAGGAATGAGTGGAGGGCGGTGCCAATGATTGTAGGTTGGGCCAATGAGCATCCATATAACACGTCTTTTATTCAAAGTAGAATCAGAATCACAAAAAACATCACAGGAGTGGTAATCGAGATATTCATCCTGTAATGCATTCCCAGATCTCTTGAATTTTAATATATTAGGTTGGGAGCTAAATATAAGTAATGGCGGTTTTTTTTGGCAATGGGAAAAATTTTGTTTGAAAAGTAGCAAAAGTTCTCTGCCCAAGCAAAGTAACTAGATCACTACGTAGAACTGTCTCGTCGAGTATAAGAATATCAAAAAAGCTTTGGTTGAGGATATAGTTTTTGTGAATTTTTTAGTCGTTGAAGTTGGAAGTGAAGTCGGCGAAAATTAGCATCTTCGACAACTGCCTCTATTTACGTCTACTCGAAGTGCTAAAATCGCTTAAGCTGCTCCATACATTCGGAAAAGGTTGAGGTAGAAGTCTCAGCAAGGGAATCTCAATAGGACGCTTTGGAACTAATTTCAAGAATTTCAAAGTTGGCAACCTTCACCTTGCCAATATTGGGCAGGCTCACGTCTGTTCCACCTGAAATTTCATGCTAATAGTTGAATTAATTGAATTTGAATTTGATATTCTAATACTACGAGAAGTTTGCTATTAAACGATATTAAGCTTGCTTGCAAAACGTTTGACTTTTGGAACGAATTTTTCGATTGAAAAAACGGCCATTACTTATTAGCCAGCCCACTGCTAGTGGGCTGGCTAATAACTGCTAGTGGGCTGGCTAATAAGTAATGGCCGTTTTTTCAATTGAAAAATTTGTTTCAAAAGTGAAAAGTTTTGCAAGCAAGCTTAATCGTTTAATAGCAAACTTCTCGTAGTATTAGAATATCAAATTCAAATTCAATTAATTCAACTATTAGCATGAAATTTCTAAATAGAGGCAGTTGTCGAAGATGCTAATTTTCGCCGACTTCACTTCCAACTTCAACGACTAAAAAATTCACAAAAACTATATCCTCAACCAAAGCTTTTTTGATATTCTTATACTACGAGAAGTTTCCTATCAGATGATATATAACTTGCTTGCAAAACGTTTCACTTTTCGAACAAATTTTTCAATTGAAAAAAACCGCCATTACTTATTAGCCAACCTAATAGTTCACGGTGACAATACTCGATCCAAACCAGGGAGTTTAGCACAATGATCTCCACTTTCTTCACATGGAAACAAGTATCTCAATAAAGCAACTACGATATGTCTGGGCTCGCAACCCCATCGCTGAAGTAGACGAGCGTTCAGTGTTCTCTTCATGCGCTTCCTTCATATTATCTTATGCGGAAGATTACTAGCTCGAAAAATTTATTGTACTACGATCTCAGGACGTACGGTCAGGATCCATCACTGAGAACATCATTTCCTGTTCTTATTGACAATAGTATGACAGACCAAAGATGTGTATATATCTATTGGGAGGGAGTCTGTAAAATACTTCGCTATGTTACCCGTGTTATTACGTGTCTCTTTGTAGGTGACATTGATGAGCCGTGGGGCTGCCACTATTCGTCTGCTTGAGGAGTTGACTGCGCTTGTCGTCATCTCCAGAGAGCCTGTTCGCTGTCAATCACGGTATCAATATTTAAACCACGACTACCATTGCTCAACAACTTTCAAGCAAAAAAGGTCGTTTTCACCAAGGTGAGCTTCTTCATCATAAATCGTCCATCATCGATGTGAACACATTCTTAAGTCATCGTTGACTTGTTGGACAAATGTTGGATCTGTGTCATAATTGAGCGCACTTAACACCCACTAATGAGGAACGCTATGCGCTTACAGAAAAGACATTCGTTGGCAGCAATCATATGACAAGTCGTCCAAAATTTAAATAATGTGGCATGTTACTCGTGAACATTTTTACTATTGCATCTATATGCGCTTACTAGGTGTTCAAATGCCAGATGATAAAATACTTCGTAACGGCTTAGCATTGTCAAAGATCTCTTGTTGATTCCCCCCCCCCTCATCTCTACAATTCATTTGGTCCTGTTGCTCTTTGCTTCGGTTTCCACGTCTTCTCTTAGTCACCGTCTTCCTCGAAATTAATCTCAAGAAAGCAGTGTTGTGCCTTTTGTCGAAGCGGATCTCTATGTATCATAATTATAGCCACAAGTGTACAGTACTGCGATTCATCCGCTATCGTATACGATTCGCTGACGCGGCTGGACACCGCCTTTCGCTAGCTTAGTTATTGGTCAGCGTGACACGCCCATTTGGTTTGTTGCCGTTGAGGTGACTAGTGTGTGCCAACTGCCGCCTGCTAACCATCACAAGCTCTCCAGTAAGGGTCATCTTAGAAATGGCCAAGTTTTCTATTATTGACCTGTGTCCGGATCTCATAGATGAGCCTACGTCAACTGCATATGGGAAGGAGCAAGGTAAGCACTAGATTTCCCAATAATTCGCTGAAATTTGTGATCACCAGTTTAGAGAGGAATTCATCAAAAGAAATCAACCAATCCTTTGTTGTCATCTTCAATAGCGGGATTTTTATCCGGTGGCAATTTTTTAAGTCCGAAATCTCCTATGCATCAGCCAGGAGCGTAGATAAAAAGTGTTGTTAATTTGAAATTTTGAAGGCAACTGTGCATGCTTCAGATGTAAGTACAATCATCTCCGAAACAGCTTCAAACAGCGTCAACGATGAATATGCTCACCAAGGTTTTGAGGAAGGTTCTTCAGAAAGTGGTGATAGTAACAAGGTGATGGCATGTTTCGCTACTGTATTAGCAAATAAATGGCGTAATAAGTCTTCCTTGCGACTACATGGGAACGTTCCGAATTATACCCTTTCAGAACCCACTGAAATCGTGTGAGATAACATTCCAAGACGCTGGGAAGAACTCTAATCTAAATGACAAGCCTCCATTTTCGTACAATGCTCTTATTATGATGGCAATCAAGAGCAGCAGCGAAAAGCGGTAATGTTACATAATGACAAATTGTATATCTGTTCTTACTTACATCAATTTCAGATTGACGCTGTCAGGCATATACGACTACATTATGACTAATTACCCCTTTTATCGTGAAAACAAACAAGGCTGGCAAAACTCTATTCGTCACAACTTGTCGCTCAACAAGTGCTTTGTAAAAGTACCTCGGAGTTATGATGATCCGGGAAAAGGTGCAGAGAATCGATCTTCCCATACTGAAATATTGTGACTTGTTATATAGCAACTGGCTGCAATATTCATCTGTAACATAATGTGAAACAACTATAAATTGAAGTTCATATGAAACGAAAAAAAACCCAATTTCAGGGAACTACTGGACGCTAGACGCAAAGTGCGAAGATGAGGTCTTCATAGGTGGCGCCACGGGTAAGCTTCGACGTCGTCCTTCTACGATGAACCGAGCTAGAATGGATGTGCTCAAGCAGTACGGCCCTGGAACGGCAGCGATATTCCCTCCTCACAGTTTTACATTTTCCTGTTCTCCACCTCATCAACATCCGTTTTCATCACGTCCTCTCCTGTCATTGCCGACATTTTACGCGCATGCCGATTTCATGCATCTTTTTCTAGCCCAACAACAACCACAGCACTTCTTGAAAAAGGTTTAGGCAGAACCTGATAGGCTATTAATCTGAAGTGCTACGGGTATAATTGTGTACGGTAGCATTTGTGCGTACGGATTTAGATGTGTTTCTAGTAAAGTTAAGTATTTATGCATGCCTAAAAGGTCGAATGGTGAGAGTTCGCCAGTCACGCAAAAGCAGGGGTGGGGGGGGGGTGATATTTGATCTGCTGGTGGGTTTATCAGCTGCATTTGAAACTACGTTTGCCTGTAGATTTGTATTAAAAGGGTCCAATCACCTCGAAATGTAATAAACAGCTGTGAAACGCGTTGACTTCTTAGAGATACCCGGCTTGAGCCGGCCCATAAGTAATGGCGTTTTCTTCTCGCTCAGTATATCACTCAGAACATCAAGATAAGAACTTTTGCTATTAATTTCATACTGTTTTGTAGAGAATTCCTTGCCCTACACGATACTCTTCTTAGTTTTCTTGAAGTTTTCCTTACCACTAATATTTAAGTGCTCAAACTGGAGTGTCAGGTCGACGAAATTGAGCATTTTCGACAGCCTCTCTTTTTTACCTCTAACTGAAAAGCTAAAACCGCACAGGCCCAGTTGCTAAGTATATGGCAAAAAGGCTATGTCTCTTAGAAATGCTCACAATAGTTTAGGTGATTCGAAGAATTCAATATCGACCTCACAGAGAAACATTAGACTTAACGCTCTATTGAGTCCAACTGAGAGCTTACTGAATAACCTTATTCATGGAAGATTCATACCAAGGATGGGGAATCGTTAGAGGTCATGGAATGCTTCCTTATCATCATCAACCACCACCCTCAGTTGATGTTAGACGTTCGAAAATTAGTGGGTAGGTTCTGCAGGCCGTCGCTCCCCAAGAGGGCCCCCATGCATTGCACATTTACAAGGTCCGAAAACCCAACTCTTGATCGCTTGAACCAAATTCAAGCTGTCATAAGACGCATCTTCTTTGATCATATATATCACAAGTTGTGAACTTCTTCTGTAATTCAAGAGCCGAGAAAAAGTGCAAAAAGTTGTTGTCGAAAACTTACTTTTGTGCCGACCCGACTTTCCATTTCAATGGAATAAAAATCGACAAATTTGAGAAATAGTAGAAAGGCAACCATACTATGTTATAGAGCAGGAAATTATCTATCTAATTAACAACACATTGGGGAAAAATAATTATTTTCCATATAAAAATCTGCGTGGGGAAAAAACGCCATTACTTATCGGCCGTCCCAGTATATATAAATAAATATATATAGTTCGCTGCGGACGGTTGGGCGTGTCAGGCAGTATGAGTGTGTCACCCCGTCAAAGCCGTTCTCTGCCTTCTTGTTGAAGCGCGCATGCGACAAAAAGTGGTAGAAAACGAGTAATACGAACGATATGATACAGTCATATCATTTGCTCGCTTCAACAACTGGTGGAGAACGGGTTTGGCACCGCGCCAAACTCATCCCGCCTGACACGCCCAACTGACACCCGAACTACACTATATGTATGTGCGTGTATATGTATCTATCTATTTATTCATATGTGAGCGTACATGAGCATGTGTGAATGAGCCCTGGCGGATGGATGGCTATATGAGAGAATGTTTTTTTAGCTCGAGAGCAGATAAGTCCTGAATTTCAGTGCCTGTCCACACACGCTCATTGAATCCCACCATGGCCCTTTTGTGTTATGTCACTTGTAGACATATTAGGCCCATTGATGGTCATTTCATGAGAAGTTCACATTTATTGTTGACTGTCATAAATTCTGCTTGTTTGCGAGTGTTCGGTGTTCTCAACAAGCAAACTCAGGCTAGAAAATTCCATGACATTCCCACGTTCCATGTTTTTTTTAATAATAAGACAATTAGACATTCTTCATCGGAGCACTTTCACTGCTTCTTCCACTTTTCTGACTTGTACTTAGAGAAGTTAAATTTCGATTTCTGAATCGACTTCATGAGCGTGCTTTCGCTGGTGTCACGCAGTCTGTTCAAAAAGCGATGCGTGAATGCCCTTCTAATGCGAAAAGAAATGTGTTGTAGAAAAACCGACATCCACTTCAGGTGATGTGTCGACTTCTGGCTGACCTCGCTTTGTTCATATTACTTTCAGCAAGGTTCGCAAATCAAATAGCAATCATTCTGCAGAAAGGACAGCGCCTGTCCTTGCAAGTCATTGCGTTAACACACACATGTTAACTGTCTCTTAAACATGGGGCCCTAATCCCCAATCGATGGCGTAACGAATAGAGGTTGAAGTGAAAGGGTGTTATACAATTGCAGTTTCGAGTTCTTGTGCACCTGCTTAGGCTGCTGAAAGGAGTGCCGACGGCGTCAGCAGCGGTTGTGGTGAGTGGCGGTCTTAATCCGATGTTGATTCACATAATGAAGGGGAGCTTCTTTGGTAGCCGAACGCTACCTTCTTTGAGTGAATCACAAATGTAACTGTAGCGTTCCCTTATTCGACTGGTGTGACAGGAGCTCCTATTCTCAATTAAGTGCCGGTTCATTTTCGTAGCCAAGTTTCCATTTGTTTATTGCACATGGCACTGTTGTCGAAGTTGTTGGGTTAGAAGGCACTCGTCCAGAATTTCGACTTTGGAAACACAGAAATTCGCTTCCGAAAGCCAGTGTCTGACAGAGTTTCTCGGATGAATGAAATGAAGCCGCTTCGATAAACTGTAGGCCGAGCAGCGTTTGATTGGCAGCAGCACAACAGGTGTTTCTCTCAGCAAGCCATAAACAATTTGTAAGACACATCATCCATCTGATTGCGGTCAGTTTTATGACTTCGACACAGTTACTGAGGCATGAACCAGATTGAAACTCGCTTCATTAGGAACCTACAGTTTCAAATTCCTTCCACTGTTCGAGGTGTTTTTGTTCAAGTGTTGTGCATTTCAGACGCTCTGGGAATTATCGAAGTCTAATAATATGCGATAGTTATCAAGGTTCTAAGGTTGTACTAGACAGGTACAATGAAGGAAACCCGTTTCTCCGGCAAGTAGAACAAATAGATAACCATTTATCGAGATTGCGTGTTTTAAATCAGTGAATTTTGTCTACCTTAGTCGCTAAAGTGTTAGCGAAAAACTAATAATCAGAGCGTTCCACTTTAATGTCACTTCTGCCTCGAACTTATTGTTTGACTTTGAAGCGAGCATTCAAAAATTTCTATTGCCTACAGTGCCCTTTAAAGAGCTTCACGTTCAATCATATAGAGCAATGCACACGCCCTGAGAAGTTGCTTACGAATCGTGCTTAGCATTGCTCACGTTCCACGATCCTTGTTATAAAATTATTGAGCCTCGGTGGGATTAATTTGACAACACTGAGCAATAACACTGAGAGGTCTTACGGTAACTAAACTCCTAATCCCTCCAAACAATAAAGCGTATGAAGGGGCGTGAAGTGGAAAGCAGCCAGGGCAGCCTCGCCAATAGTTGCGAATTCAGGATAGCATCATTGGTAAAAAAAAGACGGCCCTGGCTGCGCTTCATCTCAGGTCCCGTCATACGTACGCTTCATCATTTGCACGGATCGTGACTGTGGTGAGTCTTAGCTCGCAAAAAGAATCGAACACGTGCAGGCAGGCACGCCGTATAACGTTACAGCAGACAACGGATTCCTGAACTCCCGCAGATAAGTTCGCCATTCAAAAACGCACGACAACGCGCTCGAAAGTCGCGCGGAAACTCGAGGAAAGTTCAAATCAATAATAAGTCTAAAAACTTGATTTCTAAAAGACATCTCCAAAAGGTGTGGTAGTAAAGCAAACAGAAAACGTTCAATGATCGAAGTGTTGCTAAGAGATTGGGGCAACACAAGTTTAGAGCCGATAATCAGAAGAGAAGGTTCTATGTGTAGTGAAATTTTCCATGTGGAGTAAAATTAAGCGGAACTTCAAAATGGAGATAGTGGGCGAAAAAGCGTCCAAGTAAAGCTAAACCGAGAACTTCAAAGTTCAACAGAAGGCTACTATTCTTCGGATCCTCTGTTCTCCAGCGTCGCCAAGAATGCTGTCCAACGGTGTACTCGACTTTTATTCAATTGTTGCTTTCTTTGCATCTTATCACTAAAAAACGGATTTATGCTGGGATTTATTCTATAGAATTTCCATTCAATCATGCCTTTCAAGATTATTGGAACTGAATCTGTTTCCAATGCCCTCTATAGATCTTTATTCTTTATTCTTTATTCAGTACGTTGTGTAAGGCAACGTTAAAAATAAAACATGAAATAAAATAAAACCCGGAAACAGAATACAAACTCCAAGGAAACATGAATAAAAACAACAAACGACAACTATGAGGCAAGCAATTGTTTAGCTAGTGACCTTCTTAATGATGCCAAAGAGCCTTGGATGGAAGCGGTTTTGTTGAGGCGCAAATAAGCAAGTCCCGCTCTGACAGTGAAAAAGTTTCGTCTGAGAGTGGTTTTAGGTCTAGGAAACGATAGCTTTAGGTGAGCCCCTCTGTTTTATAAATATGTCTGTGATGTGAAGAAAAGTCAAGTTTGTCATTATAAAGAAAACCTAAGTCCTTTACTTCCTTAACCTTTGTTATCTCCACATCATCGATGAAGTAAGAGGTAGAATGTACCGAAGAAGGGCCTAAG